GATTTACAGTTCTGGAGGAGCAGCAGTACTTCAAATGCCAGACATGTATTGTTCTGCATGGGCTCGACTGTGAATAGAGACGAAGCAGAGCATACACAGAGCCAAAAAAATGTACCCTTAAAGGATTGCTAGGTAGTTTTAGTTTCCCTTTTGCACCTTTGGAAAAAAAAAACAACAAACCACATTTATTGTGAAGTGCTTTTGAACCTGGAAAATAATTACCGTCTCTTGACGTCTGCAGAGACTAAACACGCTTAGTAATTGTCAGCAAATGGATCACTAAGTTTCTCTGATACGCAACAGGACTTCCTCGTGGCTGGTTTCTCACGACAATATTCTTAATAAATAGCTAATACTTCCTACCCTTTGTTAGTAAGGGAGCAACTCACTTGAAATAAAACTATAAAAAAGAAGACAAACGCAAACAACAGAGGGAAAGCCTACCCAGAAGAGTTTCTGTTGCTCCATCTTGCTGCTCTTCAGCAGCCGAGTGCATCTCTTCCCGTTGAGTCCACCGACATCGGCTGTCACAAACGGTCCCAAGAAACGCTAGCTGCTGCTGGCTGTCGAAAACATCACAGCCGCGCACAAGCTCTGCTGCCCCCTCAAACCGGCCAAGAGGAAGCAACACGTGCAACAGACAGAGCTCCAGCAGTGAACCAGACTCGGGGAGGCTCTTACTGGTTTGGTCTCTCAGCCAGCTGCTGCCAACCTCCAGCATCACCAGGGCCTCTCTCGCTTTGCTGTGTAACAGGATGCTGAAACACAAGAATACCAGAAAACACTAACTCTTTGTAAAAGCTGAGATCACTGACAGTTACTCCCCACAAACAGCTACATGGAGACATATCTCAGGGTCTGCACCTGAAGCACAGAGAGATTACCGAGGCGCACAACAGGTGCAAGCACTGATGTTACTTTCTCAACATCATTCCTTTTCTATTTTACCACCGTAAAGTGATCAGCTTGCCTACGGGCAGGCTCCAGCACTCACAGGTCAAGATCAGGCCTGTCCCAGGTTCCGCTTTCATCCTCACCTACACCACGCAAAGTCGAAATATCGCTCAATATTCAAGTCTGGCCTGCTGTTACACCTAATGCAAGCCCTGCGTGTATCTGGCAGCCACAGATGGAAACTCACCACAGCTCCAGAACTTTCAGAGGCAGATGTTCAAGGACATGTTAACACTGTAGGACCCAAGACAGAACTTCCCTCCACCGGTTCATCTCAGCCAGCGCCGGAATCCCCACAACACAAAGGGAGCACTTCTCTTCTGCAGAACTGGTAATGAAGAAACACCTCAAGAAGCGCTTCTCACAACCACCTTTCCCTCGCGTCCCTTCCAGGGAGCTGCAGCCTGGCCTAGGCACTCTATGGTTCTCCGGCAGCCGCTTCCCCTCCTTTCCCTCTCCTCGCCCCCCACAAAAAGGCAAAGCCAACCCCCCGAGAAGATGCGCAGAGTCTGTCTCTCTAGGGGGGCGCAGGAAAGGCTCCGAGCACGCCGCAGAGCCCCGCAGCTCCTTTCATACCAGGCACATCAATACAGACAGGCCGTTGGCAAACGGCAGCCAAAGCCAAGCCAGGTTTTCAACAGCTGCCAACTCGCTTTTTCAGCAAAAAGTGCCACCTTCCATTCATTTAGCTAACAAAAAGCTAAGAAAACGAAGGCGAGCACCGCGGGTGCTGCTGCCGTTCACACAGATAACAGTTATATTCGAACCTAAGAGACCCCTAACCCCCCGCCAAAAAGTTCCACTTCATTAAACCCCAAAAGCCCTGCATTAGGAACAGCAAAACCCCAAACGGGGCAGAGGCGGCTGCGGTTCGCAGCCAGCCTGACGCCGAGGCCACCTCCCAGC